ATTTTAGAAGCTCCGACAAACTCTTGATAGAGCTCTTATAGTGCATATTGCATTTCCTCAAAAGATTAAGGGTTAGAAGGAGTGGTACATACCTCTTCATTTTCGGTGTGAGTCTTCCTCGTGTGCCATAAGACATAGGTTTGCTTCTTCTTCTTCCTCGGTGCTTTGATCGCCGAAATCTCCTCCCCAGAATATGTATGCCCTTTGCCTTTTGAAGCGGTGTGCATTCCTTCCACCTTTTGGGCATTTTTTCTTGATATGCCCGACTTCACCACATTCGTAGTACACAGGGCCATCCTCAACCTTTTCTTTATTCCTTAGAAGTTTATATAACTTCTTCATGACAAGCTTGATTTCCTCATCATTGCTTGAGTCATCCACCGTCGGCTCTTTGACGGCTTTTAGCGCTATGCCTTTCATTTGATCATTCAAAGAAGGATTAAGTATAGTAGATTCATAGGTTTTTAGATTACCTCATAAGCCGTCGATGGTGATATTGGATGCACCGATTGACTCATAGATGGAATCGGCCTTGGAACGCCATTCGGATGTCAAGCTTCGTAGGATCTTTCTTACAAGATCCCTATCGGTGTAGGTTTTCTTCAAGGCATGAAGACCATTGACTATCTTGGAAAACCGGTCGAACATGTCATCGATCTTCTCGTGCTCCTTCATCCTAAACATTTCATATTCTTAAGTTTGGAAATCAATCGCTTCACGTACCTGGTAAGTTCCCTCATAGGTGACCTCTAGTTTGTCCCACATTTTCTTAGCGGTTGAACGACACGAGATCTTTCGGTAATCATCGGTGATAGAATATAAATAAATCTTCCTAGGCCACAACCACAAGCTTGAGCTTTTGGTTGAATTGGTTCCTTGACATGGTATCGGAGCCTGTTGACTAAGAGGTCACGAGTTTGAAACTCAGTGCCACCTAGTTTTAAGAAAATTAAAAGTTTCACGTGCAAGGCTCGAAAAAGACTACGCCTGCACGTGAGGGGGCATGTTAGAATATAAATAACTCTTCCTAGGCCACAAGCTTGAGCTTTTGGTTGAATTCGTTCCTTGACAATCGGGATTGACCGCACAGTAGATCATATTGATGGCTTTTGCATAATTTTCTATTTCCTTTATGTCTTCGGCATCAAATTCATCTTCGGTCTTGGGGATCAACTTGTCTCCAACTTTCTTCATCGGCACCTCTTCCCTGTTTTTGATAACCAACCATAGTTGGAAGTTTCTAGAGCGAATGTAAATTCTCATTGCTCCTTCCAATATGTATAGTTGGTTCCATCGAAAAGAGGTGGTCGTGTGGTTGATTGCCCTCCACCTATTACTGCGTACAAATTTCTAAAAGTGGAAGCCATTTATGTTTTACCTCTCAAACAGTTAAGTTTGGAAGAGAGTTAGGCTCCGATACCAATTGTTAGAATTAGGTCCCAGTGCTAGAGGGGGGGGAGGGCGAATAACGTTTAATCGAAAAGTCGCAGGAATAAAAAGTTTAAGAGCGTGAAAAGTAAAGAGTGTGAAAAGCGTAAAAGGTGCACACCAAGTTTTGCATTGGTTTACCACAACGTGTGGCTACGAGCCTATTCTTTAGGGCTTGAACTCTTAACTTACAGTTTCTTCTAGTTTCTTATAGTTTCTTCCAATTCCTTCCAGTTTCTTCCAGTTCTTCCAGTTCCTTCTAGTTTCTTCCAGTTACTTCCATTTCCTTCCAGTTTCTTCCAACTATTCTCATTTTCTTTCAACTTTTTCTACTCTCCAACCAATTACTCTAAAAATGATATATTTTTAATGTGATTATTATTATTATTACCATTATTATTATTAATATTATTATTATTATTATTATTATTATTATTACAACTGCTATGTTCATAACTATAGTTTATAAATTTTTTTTTCATCTCACTATTTTTACGATTCACACTCATTATTTTTTTCTTCAACTTTTTAATATGAATAAGACAATTTTTTGTATATTAATATACATGATAAAACAGGAAAACATCAATATATTAAACTATATTAAAAAATCATGGATAAAATAGTGACATCGAACAACAACAACAACCTAGTTAAATCCCACAATAGAAGGGTCTGGGGAGAGTGTGTGTACGGAGACCTTACCCCTACTCGAAAGTAGAGAGGCTATTTCCAAAGAGACCCCCGGCTCAACGTTGAAAGTTGCATTACATAGAAAAAGACTAAAATAGGAGTAAACATAAAAAATGAAAAAAAAAGTTCTATGTCTTTATTCCAAAAATAGCACTTCAATGAAAATAAAATGTCAATCATGAAAGAAAAAAATCGGTTTGATTAAATTATGTGACATGTTTGATATTTAAAATAAAATCTTGTAATATATAAAGTATAATTATAAATATATTATTTATAATAAATACTACATAAATAAATAGAGCTACAACGTAACCACAAAAACTTTCTAAAATTTAATATTTTTATATTTATGTTAGCTTTATATTATAATTATTTTTTTGCAAAAGTAATTTTTTGTATTTGAAAAATAACAATACTTTTTTTGTATGTTAAAGGCATTCATTAAGATAACGTGATGATGATGATTATGATGATGACGACGACGACGACGATGATGATGATGATGATGATGATAATAAAAATAATAATAATTTTAATAATAATAATATAATATAATATAATATAATAATAATAATATAATATAATATAATATAATAATAATATAATAATAATAATAACATATAACAACAAGAATTTAAAATAAATTTTTTTTAGGTGTTCCAATTTTTTGAAGTTTTTGTTGTTTCTTCCAGTTCCTTGTAGTTTTTTCCAGTTTCTTCCAGTTCATTCTAGTTTTTCCCAGTTTTTTCTAGTTCCTTCCAGTTTCTTTTAGTTCTTCCAGGTCCTTCTAGTTTCTTTCCGTTCCTTCTAGTTTCTTTCAACATCCAGCTTTATTTTTCCAGTCCTAAAGAACAGGCTCGTACGTCCAGTCTCCCAAGATACTCTCTCGAGCTACACTACTTCCATTAATCTTACAGGTGCTTAACAAGCCGTTACAACCTGAGAACTCGAGTCCCACGAGCCTCCATACACTTGCTTGGAGATACTACACTCCAAGACTTCAACCCGTAGGAAGATACCCTTCCTTCATACAACCAAGGGACACAGGCTTCCCTTTAAGTGTGTAAAACACAAAAACACTCAAGAACTAAACTCTCTCAAAAGAGTGGATAATGAGTAAAATGTTACACTCAAGAGCACAACAAAAGCTTCACACAAATGGCTCTCAAAAGCTATGAAAAATGTAATAATGGAATGCGATGAAGGAGTATGAATTGTGAAGTAATTGGATGAGAAAAGCAGGCCCAAACACCCCAATTTATAGTGGAAAAATAGGCTCCAGTGAGTGGGAGTTAATTAGGGGTGATTGGCATAATTTATGGAATTTAATTAAAATGGGATCTGCCGAAAATAGGCCTAACAACGTTGTTCAAGTACTGAACATTGCTGTTGAGGCTTAAACTTTCAAGTTGGAAGCTTCAACGGTCACTTCAATAGCGATGTTGAGAAAGTGAACATGGGTGTTCAAGGTGTTGACTTCCAAACATCAAAAGTTTCAGCCTTTAATATCTTCCAACGATCAGGTGCCAACAGCAATGTTCACAAGTGAACATCGCTTCTTCGTTCTTGGTTCTCGTTTTCACTTTGGTCAATATGTCAAGTTTCTTCGCCTATGGTTTGTTCATGTCTTGTGTACACGGCAGTTTGGCATTATCAAAACCTGTCATAAAACAAACACGTTTTAGTACGACATAGGCGTAAACCCGTGTTCCAACATGCTCGAATTTAAATAGTGTCATCTTCAACCTCGGGCCAATTTTCAAAAACTACATTTTTAGCCATCAAACTTCAATTAAACTATGTAGAAATATTCTCTAAAGTTCATAGGTCATTTTGGTATCATTAATTTGACGTTTTAACAACAAATTCAAGGTTTATGATTCTGGGTTCTTCAAGCATGTCAAACACAAAACTCAATTAAACGACCATTTATGAACGTAGAAATGGTCTATATGAACATTCTATTCACTAGATATATCTAAGGGCTTACCTCCGGAGAAAATGGAGGTTTTGGGAAAATTTTGGCGATGATTATCACTAACTCTGGTGACCTTTCACTCTCCGGGTAGCACTATTGCACACTCCACACTTAGAACTAACTCTCAGAACAAATTTGAAGGAAAATGTTGAAAAATGGGAGAGAAGGGTCTCCCTTATATAGTAAGAAGGAAGAAGAAAAAGCCAATGAAGAATCCTTCCCGCCTCATTGCGATCGGCTAAGTGGAGCGAGCAGCGCCATTTGAATATTTACACGTCTTCCCTTGATTAGGACTAATTTGATCCCCGTCGGGGTACACTTTTCGGTCAAACTTTCTCCGAATTAAATTTCATTTGTACCGTTGCGTTTAGACAGTCAAACTCTACACAACAATATAAGTTTTATTTTTTATTGACAAACTTTATAAAGCAATAATTTTTATGTCCTTCTCAAGAGAAAACCTTCTAGAGAACAATGGTGCAAACTCGCAGCAACGCAAATCAAGTCACCGGAAACCCTCCTCAGGGTGAAACCAGTGCCACCGGAGGCCGTCGCCCTCCCATCTACGTAATAGAGGCTAAGGCTCTCATCCAGCGAATTTGGATTACGGCTGACCAATTCAAGGAGGTGATGGCGGTCCTGATCCCAAACCATGAGGTGGTGGTGGACGATGCTACCAGGCGCCGACCGGGGGGAAGGCCGGCCCGGCAGCCTCGGAAGGTAAGAAGAAGAAGAAGACCAGGCAATCCCATATGAAGAAGGCGACCAAGTCTAATGAGAAGGCTATGGTGGATGATGATCTGTCCAGATTGGATGAGAAGGATGAATCGCCCTCCTTCGAGCGGGCATCCGCTTTCGATCAACTAGGGAATCAAATTAAAGACAAAAGAAGCCGCAGACCTTTGCGTTCGATCGGCTACAAGACACCCAGTCGGCCTAGAAGGGCAACCTGAGGGATAAGATCAGGGAAAGGATGGAGGAATCCTCGGCGACGTCCAAGGCTTTTTCGGAAGAGAGACGCAAGGCGATCGAGGCCAAGGAGGCGGTCGAGTTATGGAAGATGGTGTACCATGTAGAAAAGCAACTGGACGCTCAGAATCCCTATCGCCAGGCGGTTTTCAATGAGGTAACCCCATTCTCAATGAGGGTGATGTCTTGCCCTCTCTCTGACAACTTTATAACCCCCCATATCAAAGCGTACAATGGGACGACCGATCCCCAAGACCACCTTGCGCGTTTCAGGGCAAACGTGATTATGTACGCCTATCTAGAAGAAATTAAGTTTCGGAGTTTTCTCGCCACACTCGAGGGGCAAGCTTGTGAGTGGTTCCACTAGTTGCCAAAGGGGTCGATCGACAAGTGGAATGATCTGGCCCACAAGTTCTTGGAGCACTTCGCGTCGAGCCGAAGGCAAAAACTTTCCATCTCACACCTGCTCAATGTCAAGATCCATAAGGGAGAGCACCTCCGGGAGTTCATCAACCGGTGGGAGAAGGAGGCCAAGGACGTCCATGGAGCGGACAACCAGGCCCTGATCGCGATGCTCTAGGCAGCACTCCCTCAAGGGGATGTGCGCAAGGAGCTGAGACAAATTCCACTCCCCACATACCAGGAGATGCTAGCCAGGGCGAAGTACCTGGCATTAAAAGAAGAAGATGATGAAGCGCCTGTCCACAAGGAGAAGAAGGGCGGGCAGCCAGTAGGTGAAGGAAGGAAAAGGAAAGACTTTGGAAGGGGAACAAACCCTACAGGCTATCAGGCGAGCAGGCCGCCCGTCCACGTGGTCCAGTCCCTACCGGCCCCTCCTCGCAGTTGGGAAAGCTATAGCGTCCAAGACGCTCCCAAATACTGTGAGTACCACCGTAACGGCACCCACAATACATCGGAGTGCGTTACGCTGAAGAAAGAAATGGACCAATTGATCGCCAGAAGGCTGCCACCTCGGGCGGAAAGGCAGGCGCCTGGGAATATGTCGTGGAGGAGACCGGCGGCTGCCGCCGCAACGATCACCAACGAGGAGGGGAAGGAACATGGAAGACAGCATTTGGGAAGAGATTGTGAGGACTTGGACGAAGATGAGAGGCAGAACCAGCGGCATTTGGGATGTCGGTTTATCATGGGCGGCAATACCGGAGGAGACTCGGCGTCCTCACGGAAGAAGTGGAAGAAAATGGTCCACCTAGCGAAAGTGCAGAGACCACCGTTGCCCAAACAGAAGAGGAAGGAACCTCTGGTCTTCACGGATGAAGATTATCCGCTAGTACTCAGTCCCCATCGGGACGCACTGGTGGTAAAGGTGGAAATCAACAATGTAGTGGTCCACCGCACGCTGGTCGACACAGGCAACTTAGTCAACATCATGTACAACAATATCTTCAAGGAGCTGGCCTGTCTCGAGCGGATCTCAAACCGATTCGCACCCCCATTATCTGGATTTACTTGGGATACAATTGAAGCAGAAGGGACGATCACGGTGAAGGCCGGGGTATGAGATGGCACCAACCGACTCTGGCTCGACATGGAGTTTATGGTAGTGCAGCTTGACTGTGCACACCATTTAATCCTTAGGCGACCGGGTCTGGAAGATTTGGAGTGCGTAATCTCCCCCGTCCACCTATGCATGAAGTTCGTTACCCCAACCGGGGTAGGAGTGGTAAGAGGAAACTAAAGCTTGTCACGGTCGTGCTATGTTAGAGCGACCAAAAGTCAGGCACGTATCGACAAGAATGTTAGTACGATTTGTGCCTCGGTCAAGAAAGAGGAAGGTCGACCCAGGGCAGAGCCAGCTGAAGAGATTGAAGAAGTGGCCCTAGATCCCACCAAGCCAGAGTAGAGGGTGAAGGTAGGCAAGGCCCTGCAACCAGAGCTAAAGGAACAGTTGGTAAGTGTCCTTCAATCATTTAAAGTGTTGTTCGCAATGGGGTCCAGGGGACATGCCAGGGGTCGACTCGCGAATCATTTGCCATAGATTGGCAATGGACCTGGCCCACAAGCCGGTTAAGCAGAAGAAACGTTTCCTCTCCTCAGAAAGGAGAGATTTTGTGACAAAAGAGGTGACCACCCTGTAGTCCATCGGGACATACATGAGGTCCGGTACCCGGAATGGTTGGCTAATGTGGTCCTCGCACCCAAGGGGAATACCTGGCGGATGTGCGTTGACTACACTGACCTGAACAAAGCTTGCCCGATGGACCCGTTCCCTCTCCCCAATATTGATTAGCTGGTGGATGAGACGGCATGGTGTGAGTTGATGAGCTTTATAAACGCGTTCAACGGATACCATCAGATAAGGATGTCTGTAAAAGACGAGGAGAAAACCTCCTTTATCACGCGTAATGGCGCTTATTGTTACAAAGTGATGCCCTTTGGATTGAAGAACGCTGGTGCGACCTACGCACGAATGGTCAACAAGTTGTTCGCGCCAGTGCTAGAGGATGCATGGAGGCGTATGTGGACGACATGATCGTCAAGTCAAAGCAAATGGCATCCCATACCCAAGACCTAGAGAGAGTGTTCAGAATAATGCAAAAGTATTAGCTCCGCCTCAACCCAAAGAAGTGCACTTTCAGGGTTCAAGGATGCAAATTCCTGGGGCACATGGTCAGCCGAAGGGGCATTGAGCCCAACCCAGAGAAGGTAAAGGCGATCTCGGAGATGGAACCTCCACGAAATGTGAAGGAGGTTCAACATTTGACAAGAAGAATCGCTGCTCTCAGCCGTTTTTTGTCAAAAATAGCTAATCGAGCGGCACCATTCTTCCAAACTATCAAGAATAGCAGAGGATTCACCTGGACCGAAGAATGTCAGCGGTCCTTTGAAGGGTTGAAGGCGTACCTCCTCTCACCATTGGTGCTTTCGAAGCCGGAGCTTGGGGAGACATTGTAGCTATACTTGGGAGTCTCTCCTCGGGCTGTGAGCTCACTACTGGTGAGGGAAGAGGAAAGTACGTAGCGACCTATGTATACCCAAGGTATTCGAAGCATACCAAATGGAGCAGGTCCCCCGGGACGAGAACGCTGAGGCAGACATCCTCTCAAAGCTTGGCCTAGAGTCCCTGGAATATATTAGGGCAATGACACAAGAAGAGGAGTTGCTCGACCCAAGCATCAGCCCTAGACAAGTCTTGATCATCACAGCCAATGAACCAGACAGGATCGACGAGTTGACCATGTACATCCTTGAGGGATCATTACCAACGGACCCGGTCGCGGCCAAGGTCGTTAAGTGACGCGCACCTAGCTACACGCTGGAGTGCGAAAGGATGTACAAATTAAATGATCGTACAATGGTACATTGTTAAGATGCCTAAGGAGGGAAGAAGCACAGAAGTTGATGGAGGAAATCCATGAAGGGATATGCTCAGCGCATCAAGGAGCTTTCACAATGTCAAGGAAGGTAACGTTGTAGGGGTACTTCTGGACAACAATCATAAGGGATTGCGTGGAGTATGTGCGCAAGTGCAAAGTGTGCCAGGAGTTTTAAAAGGTACCAGGGCGACCGACAACAAATTATACCCCGATCAGCACAGCAATACTGTTCGCCCGGTGGGGGATCGATCTGGTCGGCATCTTGCCTAGAGCAGCAGGGAACAACATGTACCTGGTGGTCGCTATTGACTACTTCACCAAATGGGTTGAGGCTGCCCCCATGTCGACCATTACCGAGGAACAGATGAGGAAATTTGTGCCAAAACAAATCCTGTGCCGCTTTGGAGTCCCCCAACAAATCATCACTGACAATGGAACCCAATTTGAAGCTAAGAGGTTCAATGAGTTTTTGCAGAGTTGGGGTATAAAGCACAGCTACGCTGCGGTCGGATATCCCCAAACCAACGGTCAGGTCGAAAACACCAATCGCACCATCGTTGGTGGCTTGAAGAAGAAGATAATGGAATGCAAAAGTGCATGGGTGGAAGAGTTACCCTACATTTTGTAGACTTACAGAACCACCCCAAAGAAGGCCACGGGAGAAACACCGTTCGCCCTAACATATGGATTTGAGGCAAGGGCTCCAGCTGAAACCTCGTTGCTAAGTTATAGGGTGGAAACATTCGATGTGCGGGAGAACGAGGAAAATTTGATGGTCGAACTGCACTTGATTGACGAGCGAAGAGAAAGAGCTTACATCCGGGCGAAGAATTATCGCCGTCAAGTTAAGGCATTCCATGATCAGCGGGTGCGACCAAGGGTATTCAGGATGGGCGAGTGCGTCCTAAGAAAGAGAGAAGTTAGCCGACCAACCAATGGGGGAAAGTTTGCAAAGAACTTTGAAGGGCCATACATCATAAAGGAAGTGTTGGCTAACGGAACGTACAAACTACAAACCCCGGCGGGAGGAGATGTCCCACCGGTATGGAATAGTGCTAATCTTATCAAGTTTTATCAATAATTTGTACCCTTCCCATGATCCGCCTTTGAGTTAAATAAAATCAGCACTTTGCAACTTCTCGATTTCATCTCCTTTCTCGAGTAAAAAAAAGGAGCGACCAGAGAGGGTCTCCACACGAGACCATATGGTGGTTCGCACTAAGTTACCTTCAGAGGAAGCAAAGTGATGAACCCAACGGAGCTTATTGGTCGCCTGAACGACCGCTAGTCGGCGCGACCCATCATACGGTGTTTCGTACTCATAAGTGACCCCCAAGAGGGGCAAAGTACTGAACCCGATGGTCGCTCGGAAAACAAGACGACGCCAGGGCGAGAGAGCCCCAAAAAAGTCTAAGTCAAAAGAAGCAGACGATTTCCTCAACTGAGAGGTGAGGCGGCCCAAATGCTAGGGATGAGGCTTAAACAACACCAAGCTAAGTCTTTGAAATGGAGAGGGACTTGTCAAAAACTGATTAGACAGGTAACGCCAAAATACACTCATGAAAACATCCATTACACATCAAAAATTACTTCATACATTTGCATATTCATTACATACACCCATAAGGAAAAATCCATAACACCAAAGCATATACATGTGACTAAAACGGAAAAGGAAGAAAAACACAAGGATATAGGCGAGGTGAAGGGTAGTTCTGCAGAAAATGGCTGTGCAGAACCCCAACCACCAACTGTCCACCTTTCTTCTCCCATATGGAAAGGGGATGGGCGCTGATAGTCGTAGTTTTTCGGGTAGTAAACCTTCCTAGTAAAGGGTTAGTTTTCTCTCCAAGTGTCGTGTCTCTCGAGGAGTGGACGAAGGGAATTAGTTAATTTCTCTAATTAGGCGAAGGTTAGGATAGGTTTTTGAAAGTCTTCTCGGAATGAATAAGAAGGAAGCAGAGTAAAAACGAAAATAAATTTATTTACATAGTCTAAGCAAGATCCGGAACTAGGGCCAGGACATCATTTGGATCTATTTTATCATATTTAATTAACAATTGGAATAATAATATTTCTATTATTACTCATCCATTTCTAGATTTGTACTTAATCTGTTGCACTTGAATATCATAGCCCTTTGGCATACAATATTTTCTCAATAAATAATTAATTAAATCTTTTGATATTAATTAACTAAATAAGGCAAGAAAAATTGACTAACCATTCCAATATTAATTTAACATTCAAAATATACAACCAAACTAGTCTGGACCCAGAGATCCGGACCCTAACTCATACTATGCAAACATAAATTAAAATAGCATTTTATTAAATAAAGAAAACTTACAACTTCTGTACAAGCGGAACAGAACAGATTTGGAGTCGAATCCTCCGAAAATATCTCAAAATAATTACTAAAACTAATATACAATGAATCTTGAGCAAATGAAAGGGAAAAACTCGAAAAAGGGTTGAGAGATGGTGTGAAATGATTGAGGATCCGCGTTGTATTTATAGGCTACGAACTACGGCCGTCCAACTCTCTGGGCGTCCAACGTTGGACGCCCGCACTCTTGATACGTGTTTGGCCCAATCAGCGTTCGCCGCGTGGATAAGCAACTTTGGGCCCGAAATTGTTTCGTATTGGCCCAATTAGCTCCCAGGCACTGATTTCTACCTCCGAAGTATTGTGATCTTAAAAATCTGAAACTTTTTCTCTAATTTGGGACATAAAATTGACAAATTCACTTAATTTAATTTGGAACCCGTATTTTATTCTTCTTGAGACAAAACATAAGTTTTGTCACTTATAGACACTTTTAATGGGTAAATTTATTACTATTTTTATGCAATAACGCTTAAATATGTAGAATAAAATAAGAACAAAATGGACTTATCAGGCGCCCACCACAAGTGACAAGCACCCACCTTTCTTCTCCTGTGTAGGAGGAAGGGAGGGGTCACTCACTTTGTGAGCCCCAATCAGCATCATCCCCCGATGAGGATGCAGACCCTAGAGCAGCAGGAGCTACTCCTGGTCGCTTAGGGGCCTTCCGGGGGAATGAGGGGCTAGCCGAAGGTTGTTGGGAGGAATCAAGTGGCAACAGCAGCTTGACCAGGTCGCTCCGGTGAGTTAGTGTGACTTTCGTTAGATAAATTGGACATTTTCGGACATAAATTTGGTAGGGTCCACAAAATTATTTTTCGAAATAATTATGGACGTTTAATCTCGTAAGTAAGACGAACGTCTTGACATATTACTCGCCATAAACGGTGCTCGGGTGAATGAGAAATTGATAGAATTTAGGATTGGGTAGAGATAACTGGATTGGGGCAATAAGACACTTGGGTTGAACCACATTAAAAGATTGAATCCAATCGATTAGTTAGTTCAACTCAAGAGTTTACATACCGATTATTTTCCTCACACTTTTCCGATGTGGGATACTCTTAACACTCCCCCTCAAGTGGACGACCGGGCCATTTTGAATCTAACCGGTTGACCACTTGCAAATAGACTCCCATCCCCTTGATTTTTTTATGAGTGCCAACATCTAAAGGACCACGAGCCGCTGGGTATGGACTTCCAGACGAGCAATCGTGTTAAACAGGCCACAGGCCGTTGAGTACAACCTCCATACGGACAACTGGGCTAAAGACTAAGGGGCCGCTAGGAATGAACGTCTAGACGGACACCTTGACAAACGAGGGTGGGCTAAAACTGGCTCCGATACCATGATAGAATTTAGGATGGAATTTGGATCACTAGATTGGGCAATAAGACACTTGGGTTGAACCACAATAAAAGATTGAATCCAATCGATTAGTTAGTTCAACTCAAGAGCTTATATACCGATTATTTTCCTCACACTTTTCCAATGTGGGATACTCTTAACAGAAATTAATACTCAAAGTTGAATATGAGGGAAGAGTAAAAACCCTTGTCCCACACTAGTTTCTGAATCTTTCATATTCTCATATTTAAGCTTAGGCATTTAATTGAGCTAATGAAAGGAACAAGAAGAGGACTCCTCGCGCGCCGCCGCCACCCGTCCAGCTCGGCACATCGCGCGCGCGCGTCGGGTCGTGGCGTGGCGGGGCTAATTTTTTACGAGACAGAATTAAACACGCGTGGACACTTCGTGATTAACGAAGTGCCATACAATAAGCATGCATGCATGGAGGCGAAGGGTTGGCCATGGCGCCTCAGTATCTCTGTCCGGTCCAGTGAAGAGCCAACTTCCTCTCCTATAAAAGGAGGGCTTGGCTGCAGAGATGAATATACGAGCAAAATCTCTCTCTCTCTATAGTAACGTAAATTCTTCCGACGAATCCCCAGTTTCCGATCATCTTCTCCGGCGATAACTTCCCGTCGTTCTCGTTCGCCGGTGCTCTGTTCTACCGCTCTAGACTTACCACGCTGCGGTTTTATCCTGGGAGGAGATTGCCTACGTTTGCCAGTGCGGGAGGCTGGCAATACTACCTTAAGGAAAGCTTCGGAGACTCCGCTTTCTTTACCTATATTGCCTGAAACTGTTCCGGCGACCCGCTGCTTCCCGTCTGACGCTCCTACCGGCGTACCTGTTCGTGTTCCCGTTCCAGCTTCCCACTGCCCGTTCCCGTTCGAGCTTCTTGAAGACTCAATTTTCTTTATTTTATTTAATTGTAAAATCCGAACGGTTTATAAGTTCGGATTATTATTATTTATTTTTCCCGCTGTATTATCAACATATATATATATATATATATATATATATATATATATATATATATATATATATATATATATATATATATCTAGAGAGAAGGGAGAGAATTCCGGCCAATTCTCCGGCATATCTATCGGAAAAGGGAACCAAGAAAAATCCTTCACAGTTTATCAAACTATTTTCTCAACTTTTTGCTCAAAATTCAGTCAAAGAGCTGGGTAGAAGGGAAGGGTTCTATAATGGAATCCCTTCAATCAGCTTTACGGTAGAAGAAGAGGACATACTGGAGAGCAAAATGAACTTCTCAGCAGTTGGAAGGTTCAATAAGGAGCAGCACTTATCAACATTAAAGGCATTCATGCTAAGGGTGGGTTTCAGCAATTTCAAGATTAGAAGAATCAACTCAAGGGACATACTGTTTACTTTCAAGAATGAAGATGACTACATCAGGTTTTTACAGAGAAGAAAATGGTACG